TGTTCAGACTATTGTCCTCATCTTTTTTATCATATTCACAACGTTTCGGCTGTTGTACGCACCGGCCTTCTTCCGAAAAAATTAAATAGTTACAATACCTCATCTCAGAAATAGAGACAGATATTGATCAAACTTGTTTAAATGAATATATATATATATATATATATATATATATATATATATATATATATATGAGTGTGTGCATGTGTGCGTGTATAAAAGAGGGAGAAAGAGAGATAATGCAGTTTCTTGAAAGCGCACAAAACTTCGCCATTCAGGGTTGTAGAGAAAACTTAAACGGGATTTCGTTATGCAGCACTTAGTGTAAATTATGAACAGTTGACAATAAAATCAGAACCTTAACAGTTTAACAATATATTTTGAGTATTTATGAAAAGTATTGATCTTCTGTTCAGTTTATTATGCTATCGTGTTCATGAGAGCATGCATTATGCATAAAGAAATCTATTACATCTTAAGTGATCTGTTAGTCAATGCTGCCAACTAAAAACAGGATCCTCGCTTCATTGTATAATTGCAATATCATTGCGACACACAGCTAGAAGTGCGCGCAATTCTTTTTAGATTATTCACAGCATTACGGCAACCTACTAACTATATGGGAACTCATTTGAATTATTTATTTCTAATGTTTTATTTTTCATTAATATAATGAAAATTTCAAACTTTATTCTCATAAAAACTAAAATGTGATGCACACGTAAAAAATTATACCGAATATACAAAATAATATTTATTGTTTATAAAAGTAAACAAATGAACAAAAATACGAAAAATTTAATGAAAATGTTCTTGAAGAATAGTACTTATGGTAATGATAATATTAGTTGTTTCCTTATGAGGAAACATTTGCTATTCAGTGACTGAGCAGCCAGTGCTACTCTCGGTGGAAATTTATCAAATCTTTCTAAAACAATCTTTCAGGAAAATAGTTTTCCCAAGTCCACTAACTGTTATAGATCTTTCCATTATTGATGAGGGCTTTCTTCTTAATCTTTTTGAAGTAGTCTAAAACGTTAAAATCTTGATTATGTCATTATTATTATTATTATTATTATTATTATTATTATTATTATTATCATCTTCTTCGCCTTAACCTGCTATCCATTTTAGTTGTTTCTGTTGTTAAAAGTCCTCAAGTGATGAGACTTGATACAGTTATTCGTTTGTGATTCTGTATCACTATTCGAATAAGGATGGTTCTCGCTAAGACCTACAGGTTTCTTTTGCTGCAATCCATTTTTAACCATTGATCTAAGAAAACAGTTGAATACAGTTAACTACTGAGATATTTATGAACGAGTTTTGCGTCATGCATGACATCCGTACGAAAGAACATGACACGAGTTTTTACGTTCATATTTTGTTATAACAATTGGCACTGTTGGGCAAAATGATAATACTATAAACATGATAGGAATAGGAGTTTTTGACACTTTTTAATGCATATGAAAGATGGTATACGAGTAGATCAAGGAAAAAAAACAATAAAAGACATGCATTTAGACAAAACGAGACCGGATGATAAACAGATCAACAAATTTCTAGAAAAATCCCTAGCGAGATAAGTAAGTCTACAAAAAAACAAAGCACTTGATTAAAAACTTTTAGATATTTTCTACATAAACTAACTACTGATATTTTTTAATATATATATATATATATATATATATATATATATATATATGATAGCCACCAGCTTGTTGTCGAGTACGACCATCCCAAAATATCAATGAAAGTCTTAGTTGTGCCTTGAACGAAGGTGGTTCGTTAAACCGGACAAACTTTTAAAACAGTTGGTTTCAATCTCCGGGAACTTGTACAATTCAAAACTGCCACCCTTATGGTTACTAAATATATTTCCTGCAAAGAAAAAACTACCTTGTACGAAACTAATGATGCATAACAATTTCTTTGTCGTTTGGGAAACTGCATCTCTGATGATAATGAAAAAACGTCTATATATATGGCTCAGATTCCAATAGTCTCGAGAAGATTAACCCATCATCTCTTCGAGCAGAGATCCATATGTAAACACATAACAGCAATTAACGACACCACTCTAATTTTCGTCGACAACACTACTGAAAAAAAAACGATTAAAAATTTTGGAAGCAACCTTACATCATAGGAGGAAAAACCACTACTAGTAAAGCGTGTTTAAATACCTTTGAAACCACATTATGCTTAAATCTATTTCAAAGCCACAGTATGTGAATCAGCGTTCATTTCAAACTCCTGATCGTTAACGAAATATACTCTACATTGGTTATTTCTAAACTTTCTGTATTATTTCCCGAAAAGAACTATTAATAGGCAAAGGTAACAGGAACATTAAATATAATTTCGCTAAGGTAAACAAAGTATTAAGAAACAAAAAGAAAATTGTTGGAAACAAAGAAAAGTGTACTGAACTGTTACGTAATATCAGTTCGATACGGCAGTGAATGCTGGAGAATTTCCTCACAGATGAAGAAGAGACTTGATATAAATTTCTAGGGCGAATAATGAGAAAAAGGGGATTGAAAACTTTGATGCTCATTGAAAACAAGAAAGAAGACAACGCATAACCTACCTAGCAAGTAAATGAGAGATTACAAAAAGTCAAAATTTATGAAGAACTACAAAGAATAGGAAATTGTGGAGAGCCATGATAGCCAACGTTCTGAAGGGACACGGCACATAGAAGAAGAAGAAGGTCTCTTACGAATGTTCACGTCACGTTCATCACCAAACACAAACGCCATATTCGTCACCAGGAGAATCCCACGAAAAGACCTAAGAGAACATTCTCTATCCATTCTAATTAATAAAACATATTTAAATTCAGGATTGCTGTCTAAATATACTATATTTAAATTGCACGCAACAAAAATTTTGTCTACTGATTCATTTTGCAATAAAACTATTTAATCGATCGATAATGAGCTACGGTTGCTTAGCTCCGGATATACAAGTAATTATCCATCGCCTGACATGCTCGATCACATATCCGAATGGAGACGAGTCTGCACTTGCAAATAGTAATGACCAAAACATCCAAACATGTCGGCCATTCATCCATGACCAACAGATTATGTATCAGTTGTGCAAATATATAGATTATATATTTTTAAATTCTTTCTAACTAGTTGCGGTTGTTGTTTTTTTAATACTGGAGTTGTTGAAAGCTTCTATAAAAGTGCGACGCCAAAGAAGTAATTCATGACAGCTGAAACTTGTGAGCAACGTGGAAGTTTTAAGGAAATAAGAAACGTAATCAATTAGAATGAACTCGTGACAGTTGAAATATCTGGGACACATGAAGGGTTTGGAGAATATGAAACTCACAAGAGAGTCAGAGGGACACCTCCAGTAAACTGTCTAACGAACTCTTGTAAATAGATGGCTGACTCTGAGGGATATTAAAAGGGCATTGTTTAGAACTACAAAAGATAGGAAGTTATGGGGAAGGTTGAAAGGGACACGATACAGAAGAGACGAAGATGGGAAAGCACTCACATGGGAGAGGAAAGAACCTTGAAGAGATAATGCATTAACGAAGAAAAGAAACGACAAGCGTGAAAAATATTAGAAACCTAATTAAAATGAAAGAAAACAATACAGGCAAAACGAGAAAAGAAAGTGGGGAAATAGCGTAAATAATGTTAACTCAAAAGTGAATAAGAAAGAAAAGTAAATATGGCGACAAAGATGAGGACATTAGTCCGAATAATGTAAATAATGTACATAATACCTCATCTCAGAAATATAGACAGACTCTGAAAGAAAAGTAAATAAAGGAAGAAGTCTAATTGTAATAGTAATGTCGAGATTGGCCGTTTCTTTATAAGGAAACATTCCGTATTCATTGACCCTATAACCAGCACCACAGTCGGTTGAAATTTATAATTTTTTTCTTTTAAAACCATTTTTCCCCCCAAAAAACAAAACAAAACAAAAAAACACAAACGTTTTCTCAATTTCACTCACAGTTATCGCTTTTTCTAATATTATTCTCCCCCCAAACATTTTATTTAAAGTAGCGTGGAAAGTCAAATTCTTCATTGTGTCATTATTTATTCTTCTATTTTCGTTTGTTATCTAAATTGCTGCTGCCACTGAAAGTCTTCAAGTGATGTGGATTTCGGTATTTAGTAAAGTTCTTTATTTGTGATTCGCTAGCACCAGTCTACGAGATCCAACGAAGTCCTCTTCAAGACCTACAGAGCTCATTCTCTTGAAGCCATATTAAATCATTGATCTTAGAAAACGATTGTTTATAGCTGATAGTCGAGATATTTCTGAACGGCTTAGACGCCATTCATGACATCCATATTAGAGTATAGATCCGATAAGGCTATTTAAGAATGAATTTCTTAGGTTCATGCTTTAGTTTTGCTGCATCTGTATAGGAGAATCGGGTCAACCTGACAAGTAACACAGAGTATGGTGCAGTAAGCATCAGGAGTTACGTCTTCCTCCACAACTGGTTGCAGAGAGAGGACATTTTACTTAAGGTGGCGCTGACAGAATTTGCATACGAACGATACTGGGTAGATATTAATCGACAACGTAGGTCAGGGACCGAGAGAGAACTATGTAACACCGGTCTTTTTCTCGGTCACGGGATGGAAGGGAAGCGCTCCTAATGTGCGGACCATAGGTTTACATTTATTATACTTAGCAAACCAGACAAGACGAACACAGCATCTTGCTTATTTTTGTTATTGGTTGGTTGATTCATTTTCTACGGTTTGTCAACCTTTCACGGGATATTTAAAGCCAGAAAATATTTTTAGATTGTAAGAATTTTCTTCCTGAGACAATAACGGCTTTCTAATTAACCCATACTTGGGGGGAGAAGATGTAGATTCATAGCTTTTTCCAAGGGTATTTTACGCGTAAGTCAACATAAAAAATCCAACGAGAATTGGAACTCGGCTCTCCTATTAACAATTGTGAGTCATTATCCCTTGCACCACCCGTACATCCAAGCTTATAGCACCTGGTATACCCAAGCGGTCACCCATCCAGGTACTAACCTGGCTTGACGTTGCTTAACTTCAGTGATTGTATGTTTCAACGTGATGTGGTCGTAAACCTTGTAGCATCTTGCCGTGTTATCTTGGATAAAATTACCTCTAGTGCAGCCTATACTCTTTTCAATTTCCTTATCTCCTATACTAAACTTGCTATAAACGATCTATATACTAAGGTATTTGAAGTCTTTAGTAATGTCAGATAAAATAAAACGCATTACTAAAAAATGAGATGAAAGAAGGTATGGAGAAAGACAGAAGAAAACAAATAAAAGCATAGAAAAATGATATTTTGATTCTTACTTTTTATATAAATTTATTTTCGAAGTAATATATATTTTAATGGGATGTCGATAACATCTACTATCCAAAACAATTCATTGAATCTTAGAAACATCAAAGTGATTGCAGCTCCATCCAAAACTGTTATAGTGATTTTCTAAGTACAGCCTAGATGTGTCACGAGGCCGAAAGTAAAGCGCACTCAGTGAAGATCAGAACCAAAAATACCCATAAAAATAATAAGTCTGAAGCCACTACATATAGAATATAATGCCAGAACTGCTCCTCACAATACACTGGTGAAACCTGCAAAAATTTAAAAAACGAATTTATGAACACAAATAAGATCTTATGCATAAGCTATTTATTAAATTCATTAGTTATACATAATAATACATTCAATTACAACGTTGGTTTAACGAATGCCACACCTATTAAAAGAGAAAGTAACTTACTAAGAAGGGAAATTCTCGAGAGTGCTGCTATTGAATGTTATCAAAATATAAATTTGTGCCCTGTATTTTTTCAAATATCTCCGTTCCTGAAAGAATTACTTCTTTCCCAAGCCAACATACATGACTATAAAAATGTTAAAACTTAAAAGAAAACGGTTAAATTCATAACCTTATTTAAAATTTTATTTCACCTGATGAGCGTTTCTTAAATTTTAAAATTTAGAAAAACTGAACATAAATACTTGTTACAAAATAAAACCCTTGCATTTGTCTTGTTAATGTCACGCAGATGACAAAACGCGTAGGCTAACATAAGTTTTCATTTTGTCTTTGTTCCTAACATAAATACACAACGTTTCCTTATAAATAAAGCATGAGAGAATAACAATTCGACACAATCGATTGACTTGTCAATATATTCATCTGTATCAGTTTACACAAAAATAGCTGTTTGAGGAAAGGTTTATAGGTCTTTATTTGAAAATAACTCTCCTTTTCCAAGGAAAATTTGTTTAGTAAACTAGTTCCAACAATGTGATAATCAGAAACATTATTCCTTTTCTTTTCTCGACCTATGACTATCAGTCACACCCTATTGACAAATGCTTTTTGACTTGTTAGCGTAAACTCATTTGTTTAGGTTTTTTGTTCTTGTTATATTAAAAATCAATAAGGCTCATAAGTTTCTTTCAACATCATATTAAATGTTACTTAGACAACAGATAAAAGCTAACTGTTCGGGATAAGTTAATAAATAACGGACATTATTCAATACAAACTATAATGATTGTCATGTCATCAAAACAATACCGTTGAGTGGGAAACTAAAAATTAGTACAATTGACCGATATTTCATGATAGTATTAGGAATAAAAACACGACTAGCATTAAGAGTAACACAAAAAGCTATTGACTGAGAAGCAAATACTTCACTGATTATCTAACAAACCTGAAATATTACAAAACAAATATCATATTGCTAAGCACAAAATTTCTTTCGAAAGTGTATTTGTTAGATATTTGATATAGCATGGAAAACGCCTACACATTGAAAAAAATAAAAACAAGGAAAAAGATTAAAGTATATCAGATTAACAGTAAAATAAAATAGCCGTCTGCTTTATCTCGAATTAATTTCTTTTTTGGTGATCGCTTCATTTATGATGATGGCATTGATGACTAAATTCCCCGACAACGTGTAGGTTCAGGACTAGAAGCTTCCAGTTTCACCAAAACATGCTCCCGTCATTCATTCCCTATCGCCGTTTGGCTTTACAAGAGTTGGTGAAAGAAAATCAAAGAAGAAAGTGCCGATGGCGTGAATTTGTTTAAGGTGGACTTCATCGTGCCAGGAAGTGACCTACACTAGATTTCATGATCTTTCTCTGCGGCATATATAAAACAAAATATGATTTAAGATTAATGCTTTGATAATTTCTTCTTTTATAAATTCGGGTATGGTTTAATTTTGTCTGTATGTCCTTACCTTACAACTTCTTTTTCTGTGTTGTGTCCCTCCAAGACATTGGCAATCATAACTATACAAAAGTCTCTGTCCTTTGTAGCTTTTAATAAATCTTATCTTTTTTTATCTCTCATAAACCTTGTTCTACCATACATTTACTCAAGCTCGCCAGGCTGCTTATGTGATGTTTTCCTCTGTCCTGTGAGTATCAAATTTTCCAAGCCCTCTTTCATCATTATGCGATCAAGAAATTTTAACTAACTCTTCCAGATGTTAAGTATAAGTGTCCTTTTTGTTTCCATTTTCTCTAAAACTTTATCGTTGTTCACATGTTCGGTCCATGATATGTAGAACCACATTTCTTTTTCTTCAAGTCTCTTCTCTATCTGTGATGGGATGGTCCAGCATTCACTGCTATATAGGAGGACTAATATTACATTAGTTCAGTACTCTTTGTTTTTAATGAATTTTTTCTGTTTCTTAATACTTTGCTTAAGTTTTAGAAGGCATCTTTGGCTATCCCAGTGCGTCTTCGGATTTCAGTGTCGTAGTTAAAACATTTCCCAGATATTTAAATTGTTGTACTTGTTGGATTTTGGTATCTCTAATTTGTAATTTGTATGTTGGGCTGCAGAATTATTTTTGATTATTGTTAATAAAAATGTTCGTAGGATGGATATTCGGCTAGTAAAATAAGAATGTATAAATAAAACATTTCTTAAAATATTAAAAGCTAAAAAATTACCCTATGGTTTAGAACTTAAAAATTTAAGGGTATTTTCATTTCTGATAAAATTAGTTGGTCTGATTATGAAACAAGAGTGCTGAACTATTTCGTATCAATCCTCCTCTATGACAGTGAATGCTGGAAAATTTCCTCACAGATGGAGAGATCTGTGGCAAAAGAGATGTGGTTGATGATGAGAATAACATGGATGGAGCATGTGAGCAACAAGGAAGTTGTAAAGAAAGAGAAACAAAGAGGACACTTACAGAATTATATATATATATATATATATATATATATATATATATATATATATATATAGGTAACATTTTTAAATCATTCAATGAGAAAAGAGGACGTGGAGATTTTGAAACACCCAGGACCTATTGAAAACAATCTTGTGGAAATGGATGGCTGAACAGGGATTAGAAGGTATGGTGAAAAGATAAAGCTTATTAAGAGCTACGAGGGATAGGACGTTGTGGAGAGCCATGATCTTTCACGCCCTGTAGGGACACGATACAGAAACCTGATTTAGCAACTATGAAAAGGAAGTATACACGATGTTAGTACAATAAATTTAAATTTTCACTTTATAATATTTCACCCACGAGATTATCTATCAATGTGTATGAAGTAATGTCTAAAGAATTAATTTTATTTTTAATTCGAAATTATTTCTTATTTTAAACGTTATTTTTATTGGAAATGCTTAATTGACGAAACCGTTTTTTTTTTTTTTTTTTTAAACGGTGTGAATTACACCTACCCGCCTGCGCATTCGAGAGACTTAATGAAAAGGATATGCTCTTCGGCAGGATTTGGACCTGGAGAAACAACCATGTGATTTGGCGTGATCTCTCTAGCCGAGACAGTAGTTTGCCCTAAAAAGGGTGACGCAAGTTCGAGCTCTACCGGAGAGAATAATTCCTTTATTTAAACTCTCGAATGCGTAGGCTGTTAGATGTCACTCGCATTTAAAAAAACAAAAAACAAAACAAAAAAAAAAACAAAAAAAACAAAAAAGCAAAACAAAGTGTTTCCTCAACATGGGTGTCAACTAAAAATAACATTTACAGTGCTATATATATATATATATATATATATATATATATATATATATATATAGTTATTGCAATGTAGTAACAACCAAGTAGAACCTTATGAAGCTTTATTTGAATCATACAATTTTAGTGATGAAAAACGTTTATTTTATTGAGATGGCTGGTTGCAAGCGAGAGGGGAGATGGTATGTGCTTATTTTATTACCAGCGTTATCAATAAGTCTGTAACCTGACACATAACTATTAGATGAATTTCAATTTGAAATTTTAATTACATCCTGTTCGATATATGATTAATATTCGCCACCGTAATAAATAAACATTATGTTGAAAAATTAATATTTCTTGTGCAATTTAAAGGGTTATTTTTTGCAGTTAAGGACAATTTTATTCTCCCCCACCCACTATGCATAAATAATTTAAAAAATGGGTTCAATTGAAGTGTACAAAAATACTAAAATATTTCAATAAAGAACACATATCCAAAGTACTTGCCATTACTGAGTCCTGATCTCGCTGGTCGTAAAATCAATTAGAATCACTCACCATATATACACGCGTATTATGCTACCTTTGAAGACCTAATTTTGAAGCTAGTTTGACTACAATAAATTAATACATAGTTTAGTCAAGGGTAGGCAGGGTCAGCAGTACATACGCAAAAGTCGCTTGATACACGAGTATATGCAGTAGATCGTTTGAAATTAAGAAATGCCGACGTACCACATTTTGTCACTGTAAATAATGATGATGAAATTCGTCATCCTTTTCTCTAAATGCTTATTGATTGCTGCTTGATGAAGCGTGCTCTAAATAACTTAATACGAACAGTTCTCCCCAGAAAATGCAGGAGGAAGTGAGCGGAAATTTCCAAGTGTAATAGTATGAATCACTTTGCAGAAGGTAAAATAATTTCCTCTCTTTTCTGAAAGATACGTACGGCCTATTGACGATACAATTATCAGTGTCGGGCGAATAGGGTCAAGCTTTTATGACCTAGTAGACTAGAGCAGGATCTTAATTTTTACATGATGAGTTTAGCTGT